GGCGAGGCGGTGCCGGAGGGAGCTTCCACCCTGGCGTTCGTGTTTGATGTGACCGGCTCCATGTACGACGACCTGGTGCAAGTGATCGAGGGGGCATCCAAGATCCTGGAGACGTCGCTAAAAAGACCGAAGAGACCGCTTTACAACTTCGCGTTGGTGCCTTTCCACGATCCAGGTAGAGGTCCCTCCGTGGAAGGTGCGGGCGGGAACCGGGCAGGGGCGCGGGGGCCCCGCCGCCGTCTGCCGGAGCACGAAGCGCGGCACACGCCGAGGTGGGCGCGGGGGCGGGAAGGAAAGCCGGGGAGCCCGGGCGGGACAGCGGAGGAGGTCCTGCTCGGGGCGGCTGTTACAAAGGGCTGGGTTTCCTGCGCTTCCAGGAGCCTGGAGCATAGGTGTTTCTGCCACGTCTTGGCCATGCTGGCCACACGGGTCTCTGCTGCGGTAACTTACCAGGAGCGAGTACCGTTTTCTGAACCCCTTCCCTGTCTCCGTGCAGACAAGTACCAGCAGACCTTCCGGAAACCTTCAGGATAAACTGAAGTGGACTCCAGGTGCACTGTATGCACCAAAGAGTAGTTTAGGGGATCAGCCACTCATCTTAGTAATTCTGATACGAGCTGAAGTGGCTTCGGTGACCTCCTGTCCTAGTAGAGACCACATATACTAGTAACGAAGCTACTAAGTTTTTTTTTCAACGCCCTTCTGTGGGGATATGGTTATGAATGTACATAATACAGTTGCACTTTTACTCCGGTCTTGTTGTCCCATGTTTACATTCATAAACTTGCACTGAAATGACCCAGAAGCTTTACATGGTGTGTTTTCTGGTTTGAGTCTTATTTCCCTTATTTTACCTTTTTTCTTTCTGCTGTATATCATGCGTTCCTCTCTTTCAGCATCTGTTTTCTATTCCCTTCCCATCCCTTTTCTCTGGCTTTCTTCCTCTTTTCTTGTCAAATATCTTCTAGTGACTTGAAGAGGAAATAGGAACAGGATGCCCTAGGCTGGTGATGTGTGCTGTACTATGCAGTAAAAACTCATTTTCTTTAAGAAAAAAAAAAAAAAATCGAGTGTGAAAAAGCCATTGAAAATTACCTTTCTGGTTCTAGTTTCCATGGAATATCTCAGGATATGATATACCAGAAGTTAGTTCTTAAGAGTTCAATTTTTGCAGGAATGTCATTAAATGAAAACAGACACCCCCTCTATTTCCCCTCAGTCATAAATACTTTTGCTTACAAGATACATGTTTGCTTAAATAGCTTAAATGAAATGCTTGGAAAATTAGAGAAAAACTTTCATTTGCAAATTTTGCTGCTGTATTATCTATAAACGTGTATAGGTTCTTTATTTTTTTTTTCATAAAGAGTCCATCATTGCGGTATCACAGTGTCCTGTCAAAAAAGAGTCTTTTTATGTACCTTACTGTTCTCACTTTTCATGTTGCTTTCTCTTTTTTTTCCCACTCGACATTTTTGTTACTTTATGGAACAAACATATGGGACTTAAAAAGTGTCATGCCACAGAAGTTGGCAAGAAGGAAAAGATTTTGGTCGAGTGTAGAGTCTAGAACTCTTTTATATCCTTTTGGAAAATCAAGCTCATAGAACTCCTTGGATGGGGCAGAAAATCATGGTGGGTTGGGAGTATTTTGCTTTTATTTTCTCTCTATAACCACACCTTATACATCTTCCCTTTCTGCTCACCAAAGTGATTCACTGTAAGAATTGATAGTTCTCTCTTTCAGAGCGCGTGGGTATCTATACTAACCGTGCCAGCAGGCACATGGGGCACTTTTAGTTTGCCCGTTTGTGTGGATGGCCCTTTGTTCTTGTGCAGCCTTGGTAGAAGGAAGTTCCAGCTGTTGTATCATGGGTAGTTCCAATGCTTAGCTTTCGTCACAGGACACTTCCAAATCCTTTGTTTCAATAGTTAATTTTTTCTTTCTCGTGCCACATGTTCTCTTCCTCATTCCATTTTTCTTCTGCACTTTTTCTCCTTTTTATTCCTTTTCTCCCATATCCCTGACCCTCTTGTTTTAGCTGGCTCTCCAGGATCTTTGCTTCTGTTACAGACTGGTTCTTTTAATCATCCTTTACTGTACCACCACCTTCTTGCTCTGTACATATCCCGCTAGCAATAAATCCACTGCCACCTTCCTCTTCTTGATTCACATTTTTTCCCCCTCACAGACTTCTTGCTTCCTTGTCTCCTCCCCCATTCCCTCTCCACAGGAGATCCCTTTCCTTGGCAAATGTTAGGTTTCATTCAGTAGAGTAGCTGAAACTTAAACCTGCAGAGAGCTAACCTATATGACAACTGCTGGCAAATATATATTGGTATATCTTGTTACGTTTCTTTATATGGAAGTCCCCCTTCCCTGCACAGCCGGAGGGGGCCTTACTTTATAGCATGATGGATAACTTGTGAGGTCGTAAAGCTGAAAGTGGAGAATGTATAATTTTAAACTTCCTTTTGCCTTAGGTTCTGAGAAGTATTTCTCTATGTCCTTCTTAGAGTTAGGACATACCACAGTCCAGTGTCTTGAATTTTATGGATGTAGCAGTTCAGACTGCTGGTAATCTGGTATGTTGCATCTGATGATGACCAAGCCTAGGCACTTGAAAGGAAAATGCAAGAAATACTGTTGTGACTATTTCTTCAATTTTTTTCTTTGAATCTATAGAGAAGTAACTTTTCTAAAAAATCTAATAAAAAATATTGGTTGACTTGTATTTCACAGTGTCCATCTCATTTACCTAGTGTTCTTTCTGGAGACTGCTTGACTATATTGATGAGTATGAGATTATTTTTTTCTTCCCCAGATGCAGGGTTATTTACTTAGCTGATAATTTTTCTTCAAGAAAGAGCTTTATATGTAGCTGCCCCACAGACAAATTTTGTTGATGTTTTTGTGAGATACTGTGGTCCATGAGGCAAATAGGACTCTCCAAGGAGTGCAACATATAGTTGGACCTCAGATCCAAGGAGCTTATCTTTGTATAAAGCTGTCTTGATCCTAGATGCACTCTTTATTGGTAGGTAATTACAACTTAAAGTTGGTGTGGATTTGGCTTTTAACTCCATTGTTTTCCTAATTTATGTTGTACAGTGTATGCTGAACAGTGCCCCAGTCATTCACTTTGCAGTGCTGCTTGATTTGTACTGGCTAGTGAAACAGCTCAAGTGCTTTCTAAGCACCGTAAAGAAAGAGTTGTTGAGAGGTAGAGTGTATTCAACAAAACGATACAAGAATCTGTCTTGGAAGGGTATTTGACATCGTACAAGGTACAGCTGAATTACTTAAAAACCCTTCTATATTCTACTGGACTACATTGTTACCAAAGTGCTGCATATTAATGCTGCATTGTGATATGCCAACACATGGTGGTCTTTGATGGTAGATTTAAATGTAGTGTTATGACTATTGCAATGGTATTTTGCCAACACTACGGTCTTTTGGTAGAACAGTGATAATTAACAAGTATACTTTTTAGTACCAAACCTGAGGTTTTTGGCATAGAATTATGGCTTACAGAAAAACATTGTAATGGGTTTCACATTCTGATACCACTGTACCTTCTGGCGGTATGCTGAGATCTCCATTTTGAAAAAGCCTTGTGTTTTGGATTTTGCTTCGTGTGTAAGCATGTGCAATGCTTTAACAGATTACAGGAATTTTTCTGTTGTGGTTTTTCAATGCCTAAACATGATCACAGAAGTTTTGTAGATAGTGAAAAGGGCTGTTGACAAAGAAATCTTTTGCCAGACTTGTGTTCAATGGAAAAACTGAAAAAAATCAAGTCCCAAATTAAGGAGAGTTGGCACAGGAAAACTTTGAATTGGAGCTAAAGCTTAAGATCAGCAAATGCTTTTGTTGCGTGTTGTGTGTCCTGATCTCCTACTAACTCCCATTGTATCCTGTGGAAATGGGACTGGACTCAGAATGTCTTCACTTAACATCTGTGGCCAGCTTTTCTGTGTTTTGTTTTGTTTTGTTTTTTTTTTTTCTTTATGCCATTAAGGAATTTTGGAATGGAAAATAAGCCTAAAAGGACAAATTCATCCCTAGTATTTTTCTGTGAAGCTAATGGAATTATACCACTAGTAACTCTGACTCTGTATGATTTAATCAAGCATTCCTTTAGTGTGAATGACATTTTATAAAGCAAACTCCAGTAATTAATTTTAAGTACAAGAAAAATGAAGGGGATATATAACCTCTGGACTTCCTAGTGCCCAGGATGATGTTTGCCTCTTGTAAACATCAGACTCTGCATGTCTACAAATCTCTGATATGAGCATTTCCTAATTGTTTTCCTAACCCTTTTCTATTTTTTTTTTTTTTTTTTTTTTTACAAATCAGATAGGCAACATATTGCCTGTGTGAGAAAAGGCAAAAGGTTAATACTGCTTTGTTCAGATGGGAAAATAGCATTGAACTTAAGTCATCCACCTAGGGTCACATAGTAAATGTGTAGGAGAACTAAAAATACAATTATTTTTTTTCCTTTGTCCCACTCCTTTTTTTTTTTTTTAAGAGCAAAGCTCTGATTATATCATATATCATAAAGGCACATAATTATGTTTAACTTTATAACCTGGGGTCTCCTTTATTTAACAGACTTCCAATGCCATATCCGTAACAACGGTTAGGCTGCTGAGCCACATGCTAGCTTGGAACAAGTTCAGAAGGTTATATGAAAGGTCTGAGAACTTTGGTTTTTGCAGGTTTGATAGCTTTTTTTTCTAGACATTATGATGAAGAAGAAATAATGGTTTTTCCAGAGGAGGAACATAAGAAATTAAAATTAGGCTATTAATGGGAATAAAATCTTTCATACTTCCTAATATAAGAAGTATTGTGGTTATACAAATGGATAATAAAGGCAAATGGAAAGCTGTGTGCAGAAATGGAGAAGCACAAGCTTTCCTTTACATGTTCATTTCTGCCTTGAAAAAGACACTTGTGAGTGATGAAGAATAAATTGTCCTCTGAGTGTGGCAAAAAACTTCCACTCCTGCTCAGCTGAAATTCTTCCTGGTTTGAATTCAGCTGCAGTGTCTGCATGGCTAGTCTTCCCAATATGAGCCACAGCTTTGTCACTTCTGTATCTACAGGTCAACAGTATCACTGCCTCTTCACTGCCCAGCAGTTTTCTTACATCAGACTCT